GCTAACGCTCGAAACTTCAGCTTTGAAACTCTTTACGGTGGCCAATTTACGTTAGCAACTCAGTTGACAAAACTAAATTACAATTTTTTAATGGACGAAGAGTCACTTCTACGATATGTCTTGAAAACATAACATTATAATCACATATGCAATAGGTCTGAATTCAATTTCATCGACGAACGCGCAAACATGACCTCTTATGTGCCACTCAGACAGGAGCTATATTTTGATCCACTCATTCTATGGCACAGAAGACCAACAAATGGATTCATAAAGCGATTCTGATCATGATGTATCCTAATCTTTGCACCTTAGCCATTTCTTGTAAATATATAATGCAGTAGCCAAAAGTTTGAAATTGTTTACATGCTATATTTCTGAGAAAAATGCTTCATTTAATCTTGAATAATAAAACGGAAATAAGGTCACTGTTCAGAGTTAGATCCGTCACGCGTGGCTTAAATTTCTGAAACAAACTTTTAATATTCAAATCTCTGAAAGCCAAAAAGATGTAAGATTTTGAAGCATGTTCAAAAAACAGGTGCACTGTTTTAAAAAATTTTAAATAAAACCTTTAAATTTCATTTTCTATTTGTCTCGCTTTCCGAGAACTACATAGAATAACGAAGATTGAAATATCAAAGCGGCGGATGTTAAACAGCGAAATAAAGACGTACTCATGCAGTGCTTTGCGACTGGCACTTATTCTACACTTGCTCTCTAAAAGAATCGGCTTTAATCAGTTTACACTGTGTGTTTAAAGGAAACAACACAGACACATGAAAGTTACATTAACCAAAATAGCGGATGGGAATTTTGATCTAAAATCTCGCCTGACGATGTACTTAAACAATAAAGTATTCATCTTCTTCTGACCGTGAGGTCAACAAAATATCTTGAGGTAATGTTGTGTTTATGTTTTTTTTCTCGTTAACTTCTAGGGCTTTGCTTGACCATTTAAAGAAAATGACTGAGACTTCTGCCGGGACCAGCGAGTCAAAGGTATATTAATCACGATAAGGGTATTGAAGACTTAAGCTATTACTCATTGAAAACTCATGTGTATCAGTGTCATAGAAGTGCTCATTCATCTGTGTGCAAGCTATGCCATGACAGTGGGATTATCATTTATATAGCTTATCGTACAACAGTCTGTCAAAAACTCTCGTCATATTTGCGTTAAGTGCGATTAATCTGTCGAACCTTAGTGCCACCGATACTATAAATTAACCAACCCTTATAGGAATGTACGAAAACAGAGGATAGCGTCGAATGCGCGTTCTGGTTGGCTACTCAAACTTCGAACATCCTTTGCTATTCACATCCGAGGAACTCGGGCGGGATTCGCACCCGAAAATATTGTAGTCGCTGCAGGAATAAATGAATTAAAATCATCTTTTCGTGCTCTATTATCTCACTGTATTAGTATATACCAAGACAATTATTCAACTCTATGTTGAGGTTAGCGGTGGCTTCACGGCTCGGTTATTTTCCACCACAAAGTCACCTCTGCTTTGGTGAATAGTTGATAATTATCACGTTCTAATTAAAAAATAAAATATTTTAACCCTTTAACTCCCGTGAGTGACCGAGACTGAATTTCTCCCTACTATATACATACAATATTATGCAGACAAGTGATGAGAATGAAGAAAAATATCGATTATGGGATTACTTATTGATCAGATACCAAATTCTCCAAAGTAACATAATGAGAATCGTTTGGTAGACAGTAAGGAGAATTACTCATGAGATCTTGGGATTTAAAGAGTTAATCTCGCTATCTTCATGTGCAACAGGTTTTAAGAATTTCCCCTTTGGCGGATGAGTGGGGCTCATCGAAAGGTGGACTATCTACTCTAAACAGGGAGATGTGCAAAGGGTTGGCTCAACTGCCTAATGTATCGGTGACCTTGGTTGTGCCAGAGTACACTGAAGAGGAAAAGGAAGACGCTTCAAAATGTAAAGTCAACCTTACCAAGGTCGAAACAATGACTGGTTTTACTCCTATCCAGTCATTAGCTTTTCCACCCAAAGAATGTAAATTCGACGTGGTAATGGGTCACGGACACAAGTTTGGACCGCCAGCACAAGTCGTAGCAAAGAATCGGGGATGCAAACGAGTGCACGTTGTGCACACCGCAAGTGAAGAACTCGCAATGTTCAAGAAACGTCAGCAGGAGACGATCCCGGAAGGCGAAAAGAAGCACAAACTCGAGGTAGACCTGAGCAAGACTGCTGATGTTATTGTGGGTATAGGACCAAAACTTACTGAGTCCATTAAAAGCAGCCTTCGGCCACACAAGAAGGAAAAAGACGTGATAAACCTTACGCCAGGCATTTTTCCAGAGTTCTCCGAACTAGAGCAAGCCCCTGAAGAAAGAGAGAAGTTTCGCACATTGGTATTTGGTCGTGGTAACGAGGAAGATTTTGAACTGAAAGGGTACGACATTGCCGCTCGCGCTATAGCAGGCTTAAAAGACCATTCGTACCATCTTGTGTTCGTTGGTGCACCAGAAGGAAAGCAAGAGCAAGTAAAAGAGAGCTTACTTAAATGTGAAATCTCCCCTAGGCAGCTGACAGTGCGCAGTTATCGAGAAAGCCGTGAAAGTCTGGCCGACCTCTTCAGTGAAGCTGATCTGGCCATAATGCCATCGCGAACAGAAGGGTTCGGCCTTGCAGCTCTCGAAGCCCTCTCTGCCGGGCTTCCAATCCTGGTGAGTGATAACAGTGGATTTGGACAAGCTCTAGAAAAGATTCCCTTTGGTATGTCTTTTGTGGTGGAATCCGACGAACCCGATGAATGGGGAAGAGCCATCAAGCGGGCCAGAAAGAAATCAAGGGACGTACGCCTGGAGGAAGCTAAGGCTCTTCGGTATTACTATGACCGGAAGTACAAATGGCTGGAGCAGTGCGAAACACTTGCGGACAAACTACGCTAGTGTAAATGATCTACTGAGTACTGAACTAAAAACACTTAACATTACGAAAGTTCATAACATTTTCGAGCGTTTCTTCATATATCAAGGGAAACCAACTTTGTCATTAGTACTGCTTGAAACTTTTCTTTAAACAATTGTTAGAAGGCTTCTTCAATAGACAGTAGAAATAGATGAAAATCTACATCTTTCTGTTTTCGATTTAAGTGTTATAACTTCAGGAACAATTTTGATTTTTAGTTTAGATCCATTTTGATATATTTCAGTCAAATCTGT